ACGGTGACCCCGGGCAGAGCAGGTTGTGTGTGGGGATGCTCTGGGGCCGGGTGTCTCCCCCAGAGCGGGCCAGGGCCCCGGGGAAAACGCCTTATCCTACAGAAACACTTGTCTGCACCGAACGGAGCCACCCTGAATAACACACACACTCCGTTATTTCATTACTGAACTGAATTACTTATTTATTGTCTCTGGCTGGCTGGGAATCCTGGCCTCGGTGACATTAGTGAACTTATTTCTGCGGTGGCACAGGTGCTGAGGATGTGACAGAGTGCTGAGGGATGCAGAAAATCATGGTTGGTTTGTTAAAAGGTGAATGATATCTGCCAGGAATAAGAAACCAAGGGGTTTCCTAAAAAACAACTGTCTTGGATAGGTGCTGCTGTCCCTGACGAGCTGAGATTTGTAGAAGGAACTCAAATTTCCAGAAATTATGCATCTATTTGCAGTTACTGTTATCTCTAAAGCCACATTCAAATCAGTGGGATGTGGGTTTGAGGGGGAAAAAAATAATTTTGTTATTTAATCAATTGTCATAATTATGATTATAAGGCATATGTCTCAGGTAAACGTGGGAATCTTTCTGTTCTACTGGAAATACAACCTCTAAATCATTTAACCATTAACGTATGTCGTACACTGTAAACAAAGTTGCCCTTAAAATGCCAGTATGGGGCTGGCTGCTGATAGCATGGCTGCATCTTACACCTTTAAAAGTATGATTTTTCTGGTATAAATAGCTCAGAGACTAGAACAATCTAGAGCAGCAAACGTGAAGATGAGCTGCTGTAAATTCTGTTAAGAGGGTTGGGGTTTTTTAACCAGCGTGTCTATTTTGATCCGTGTTTGTACCTCTTTACAGCCCTGACAGATTCAGCTGTGTCAGCAGTTGTGCTTAGAGGTGGGCCTGACCTTGCTATCGCCTGAAGAAGTGACTGCCAGTTTCTTCAGACTTTTCGTGTCTGCTCCACCCTCCTTAGAAGTGGAGAGTCCTCTGCTCGCTTCTTCCTCCTCGTGTTTTAAATATCAAGGCCGTGCTTTATTTTCCCATGCGGTTCTTGCAGTTAGGGGGCACCATTTACAGTGATGACCTGTCTGGCTCCATGTGGGAGGCATTGATTTTTGGAAGAATGTGCTTTAAGCTACTGAGAAAACTCCCTGGTCTTCAGAACTTCTTTTCTGTTGTTGTGTTAAATGTAGCTGCTGATCTAGATCACTCGTTTCTCCTGACGAGTGCTGCATAATTCTGTAGAACTGCAGTCAGCTCCTTTTTTTATGCTGCTTGAGAGGCTTTATGTGGGCTTGGTGCTAAAGGAGTTCTCTCTGACCTCAAATTCCTTGATAGACAATCTGTCAGCTTTGGAAATTCCAGGAGAGCATGGAGGAAAGAGGATACAGGGCTGGTGTATGGTATCTTTTCCTGCATGTATATCAGCATTTCAGATGTTGTTCGCTCCTCTGGTTTACACTTGTTAGGTGCCTGGAAGTGAAGGGTACAGTTTTTACTGGCTTCTTATGATTAATGCTTCTCTTCCAGGGGTTTGCCACCACCGCAGCAGCAACAGATGCTGAGCTTACGGGCAACAAACCAACCATCACTGCTCAATGCCAATCCTATGCTTCAGCGGGCCTTACTCATGCAGCAGATGCAAGGTACTGTCGTTATGGGAGACGCTTCCTTACTGGAGCTATTTAATCATCCTTCATGGACTGAAACCAGAGCGTGGCTATTTCTTGCTGAACCATTGCAGTCCTTGTATTTGGCAGTTCCATTTGTCATCTGTTGGGGGTTTTTGTCCGTAGCCCACATCACACAGGTTCTTCAGTTGTTGAAAATCCCGTGTGCCTGACTGTTCACAACTGGGAATAGCGCTAGAAGGTGTCTGGTTAGATACTAACTATGTGCCTCCCCTCTTAGACTCACTTGAGCCAGTATTTTTTCATCAGTGTCTTTATATAAAATATTATTTGCTTCTCTTTCTTGGTAGGAAGATTAAAACCATTTATTTTGTTGTCTGTTACACGCACACTAACCTGGTTTGCAGCAGATGATTTTCTTTGTCCAAACTTTGTGCAGTACAAATAAAGTATGTTGTTGTGGAAAATGGTTCAGGTTTCAGTTGTCCTGTGAAATTTGGATTCCCTGAAATGATTGTCATTTGTGTGGTGGATAATATCACTGTTCTTCCATCACTGTGTTTCCACAAGTGGATTTCTTCTTGCCAGATGTGATGTTTTCAAAATAGATGTATGAAGCTGCCTTTAATTGCTATTAAAGATACCAGGAATGTGGCTGGTTTTACTTTTGCTCATGCCTTAGACTGACAGCCCTTTTCAACACAGAAAATCAGTACCTGGGGTAGTTTTAAAGTGCATAGTTGAGATTAATGCCTGCAGTTTTTATCTTGCCTGTGAATCATGCCCAGATGTGAAGACAATAGATTTATTCTGCATGTCGTTAACTCCCCTTTTGTTCTCTCTTGCCCATTTAAACGAGAGGGCTCTCTAGTGACTCCAGTGGCTCTCTACAGATCTCCCTCAGGTTGTAGGGCCACTGGCAGTGGCC